GAATTCTGTCCTTCAAAGCAATAAAATAGAAGACCTCTCTGAATTTCCTAAAATCCCTTGACAGCAAATGGAAAAATTAATTAATATTTTACTGACAGGGAAAAGGTATACATTATTTATAAAATCAATAAGCAATATGAACAGATTTAATATTTCTGAGATAAATTTAATAGCTATACAGAGGAAAAATCTAACACAAACGCAGACAGTGCCGTATAAAGCCACTACTGGGTAACACTGTATAGCATTGTATACTTTGGCAGCACACAACTATAAGCAATAAAGCAAGATTTTCTGTGTGAAAAGCTCCCTTTATATTGTTAACCAGTTTTAATAATTTTAAAATATAATTGAGTATCATTAAATGATAAACAAAATTCTATCCACTCTGATCAGCTGATTAGAACCACAAATATAAAATTACCTTTTCTTATATTTTTGAAATGCACTGGAATCCACAAAGACTTGATTGCCATTTAGAAGTCTAGCACTTTAAAACTTGCTAAGTTTAAAAGGCAGGGCAAATGAGCAGAACCAGTTAACACTTGGACACATGGTTACTGATCCAGTGGACATTAAATCATAACAAAATTTCCAGGCTGGGAATTTAGCTCAGTGGCTCCTCTGCCTGCCTCATAGGGACCTGAGTTTGATCCCTGGGTACAAAGAAAAAGAAAAAAAAAAAAATCCAATGGCTTTGAAAGATCAGACTTTTGCTGCAATTGGGTCTGGCTGAGTAGGTTCAATTAGAGATACACTTGTCCACTAGCAAAGTGGAATGTTTAAACCATTGTTTATCTTTGTGAGTTTTGTGAAATTTGAGCACACTCTAATACAAAGAATTTCAGAGTCAATGAGATCAAAGTACCTTTCTGCATAATAATGAGGGAATGCACTTTTCAGGTTAACTTCCAAAGGGTATTAAAAATCCATATTAATGAAAATATGGAAAGAATTTTATTCCATGAACCTTTCAACTTCATTTAAAAACCTCTGTAATACCATGGCATCTAATTATCACTCCTACAGCTCTATTTTTTTCCCTAGGAGTTCAGAGCAATTTACATAGTTAAAGCACTTTGAAAGAAAAAAAAAAAAAAAAAAGTAAAAGAAACTGAGGCACACAAAAGTTAAGTTTGGTCAATATTATAAAATGAGATAAAGGAATGAAAGTTATTAATTAGTGTAGTAACAAAATGATTGGGTTTGGGCTCAATTATACTCTTCCATTTAAACTCTGTGCAATCTTGGAAAATCATTTAGTGTCTCTGAACCTCATCAAGTCTATGTAATACTGAATAATTTTCCATTTTCAGGGTTACTGCATTGGTTGGGGCATTGATATTTTTATTAAATATGTTGTTTTTTATTTCCAAGACATTTTCTGAAGAATGGTCACTTTTCATTTGATAACTGGACAGTGAAATCTAAACATCTCATGCTTACTGCAAAGTATAATAAATATAATAAATATAAAAGTATTCAGACCATTTCCTCTTTACACATCTTAGTACAGCTGTGACTTCAGCCTTAGATGTGCATAGTGGGGTTGTACAATGAAAATGAAGCTGAACAGGGTTCCTAAGTTGCCTGGAGAAAATAGAGAAAAACAATTTGGGAACAAAGCACAGGGATCAGGAGTAGATCAATCACCAGTTATCAGGAGCAAATATAACTGCAAAGGAATAACTAGGGAATGGAACCAAAAGTCAGGAAGTGCAGGCACCCAGAATAGGGTAGGAAAAGGGATGGAATGATTGAAGCAATTAAGTTAAACACAGGCCCCGAATAGCTTAGAGGTAAGATTTTCAATGGATAGTATCTGCATGGTATAAAGATAGCGCGGTTAATGTTATAGGATAGCTCAGATCCTAGAAACAGTAAATCAGAAGACTGGAGAGGGATGTGAAAATTTCTTAGGTTCCTTTCAGTGAATGATATTATGGAGATTCTCAGCCACTCCTGGTAATTTTTGATAATGCTGTATTATAAATATAGAAGGAAGGAGAGTTAAAAGAAATCTAATAAAAAGTTTGTTTAAAAAAGCAATTTGCGTTTTTAGAGGTGAGAAATCACTTTGAAAATTAGAGTGTTTTGTATATGGTGCTAGTTAAATGTTGTACTTGGCTAATACAGTATTTAATGTTTATAAAAAATAGAAGCAGGCCAATATATGAATTTATTCAGCAGGCACATCTGAATTGAGTGTGTATTCTGTTAGGCATGTACTCAAGAAAGATCAGAGGTCACAATCTTTTAGCAAAACAATTTAGAATGAATTATTATAAATGTGTTCATTTCTAGGTACATTATGGTTTAGGACAGTATAATATGAAAGATAGTGGCATATCTGAAGATGCCTAAATATGGCAGGATATAACAAGGATATAGTGTAGTTAGAACCAAGACTACTCATATTGCAGCCTCATGTAGTAGATTTTGATTCTTTAGCACAATAGGAAAATTTGTGATCTATCACTCATGGGTAAAATGTGAGTGTATAAAGATATAATAATAGAACCAACAGAAAAAAAGCTGATAATTTGTTTGCTCTACTTCAATTGTAGAGTCTCCTAATAATCAAATTTCCATTTTTAAATGCATCTCAATTCAATAAAATCTATTAACTAAAAATTAAATCAATGGAAGAAAAAAATTAGTAATTATTTTTGAATGGCACAAATATTATTAATCTGACAGATGTTCACCATGTAAGACAAAGTAAATGAATAATTAGGTTAAGTCTAGTATATTATCCCTGATAACTTTAAGAAGTAGAATTCTTGATGGAGGAGAGAGATAGATATTGTCCAGGAAATGTCCAAAGTAAGAGGAATTATCTTGGATTTGATTGGCAAGTATCGGCACAATCAGCTCTTGAACTGTTTTATTTCTATGAACTGTGCAGCAAGGAGCACACCTACTAACCTCACTGTGTTCTTAAATATCACTTTCTAATAAGTAATACCAAATCTTTTAGGACAAATGATTCTTTTTAAGTTTGATATTTGTTATAATAGAGGGTAGAAGAGGGTAGAAGCAAGGGCATGAAGCACGAATGGGAGAGCACGGGAGTGGGGAGAGAGGGACCTCAACGTAGAAGAGGGAGGTGGCAGATGGCAGTTTCTCCCTGATCTATGCTCTCAGTGTGAGGGAGCAAGCTCAAACCCATGGAGGCATGGGAACACTGGGTGGCTCCAGGGGCCTCCATGGAGAAACACACCAGTGGAACAGAGCAGTAGACATTACGGGCTGTTGAGTGATTCCAGTTCAGATGTCCCTGGGAGAGGGCAATTGGCCAGTTGCCATTTTGGAAAGGGGCCTGCTAAACCCCACATTCAGAGCAACCATGGGAAGGTTCCACCTTGGGGCTCCCAGTGTCAGGGTGAGGTGCAGTTGTGGGAGAGATCTAGGGCCAGAGAGCTGTGTTCAAGCTGGCAACGGCTGGAGAGTTGTGGGCTGCATGACTCCTGTCCTAGCTGGACTCTGTTTGACCCTTTTACCCACCAGGCATAGCAGAGACATGCCCTCCACCTTTTTTGTTCCTTTCTGTGGTTTTATTTTATTTGTTCTTATTTTTCTGAATGTGAATATTCTAGGTTTTTGTTGACATTTTGTTCTGTTTGTATTTGTTTGTTCTTTCTTTTTCACAAGTGCTTCAAAGATTCCAAAGAACAGAAAAAGAAAGTGACATATAGATAAGTGAGGTACACAGAACTAAAATTAGCCATGATCAAAAAATTCTATCATAAGGCATATAAGAGTCAAGATTCCAGAAATTCAACATAAGAACAGAGTATTAAAAGCTGTTACAGAAAAGAATCACCTACAAAGGCAAACCATCAGATTCACAGCAGACTTCTCAACAGAAACCCTTAAGTCAAGGAGACCTTAGAGTGCCGTATTTCAAGCCCTAGAAGAAAACAACCTCCAACTCAGACTGATGTACCCAGCAACACTATCTTTCAAAATTAATGGAGAAATAAGATACTTCCACGACAAAGAACACTTGAAGAAATTCATGACCGCCAAACAAGCACTCCAAAATGTTCTAAAGGCTATTCTAGAAAGTAATAACAATTCTATGAACCCTAATAGAATGAGTCCATCAGGTAAAGCAAGCAATTAAACAGAAGGGAAAGAGAAGAAACCAACAAAAGAAAAATTATCTTCCAAGGATGAGTCAATACATGTCAATTCTTGGTGAAATGGATCAAGAAAAAAGACCAGCATTATGCTGCAGAGACAAAATGCATTTAACTAAAAAAAAAAAAATTGTAAACAAAATCGAAGGATGGAAAACAATACCCCATGGAAGAGAAATGTGGAAAAAAGCAGGGTTAGCTACAGATAAAGTGGATTTCTAGCCAAAACTGATCAAGACAGACAAGGAAGGTCACTACCTATTTGTTAAGGGAACAATCTGAGAGGAAGAGATAAGTCATAAATATGGATGCACACAAATACCAGCAAACACAATTATATAAAACAAGTATTAGTATTTTTTTCTTTCCCTTTAGGAAAAAAAAGAAACAAAGCTTTTGCAAATAAGGAGGGCTGGAAGGGCGGAAGGGTGGAAGGGAAGGAAGGGGAATGGGAAAAAATAAGAACTAAGATATCACGTACAGGTACAAATTCCCAGTGGTGAATGTAATCATAATGTATACCTAAGATATACCAATAAAGTTAATTAAAAAATTAATGGACATGAAAAATCAAATAAGCATTAATAACAACACGGAATCGCAGCTGAACAAATATCAGAACTTATGAACAAATGGACTTAGTAGATGCCTACAGTGTTCCACCCCATATTAGAATACACATTCTTCTCCTCTGCACATGGGACATTCTCTAAAATAGACCACACACTAGCTCACAGAACAAGCTTAAACAAATGCAAATACATTGAATTTATCCCATGTATATTATTAGACCATAGTGCCATGAAATGGGAAACCAATGGCAAAATAAACTCAAAAAGAGCTTCCCTTTTGGGCATGGGGAAGCTTGTCCAGCCTGCTGACCTCACCGTGGCCCCTGAAGGCTGCCACCCCTTGGTAACCACAGGCATGGATGATGTCGTGGTCAATTTCGAGACCGGGGTGCACGAATGTGGCAGCAGCGTGCAGATGACAAATGATGCCCTGGGACACAGAACCTTCCTGTTCCACACGCTCAGACTGTGGGAAACCTGTCCATCTTGAGGACCAATCATGCAGAAGTTCCCATCGAGTGTTGCTACCCCAGACATCGCAACACGAGAAGCCAGGCGCCCTTCAGGACCACAGTGCCCTCAAAGAAGCTGGCTTTCTCCCTGTGCTTGATGTGGGAGACATGGAGCGCCGAGATGTCTGCCACCTTCCACCGGGGCGAGGCGGCCCACCTGCAAGCCGAGGTCCATATCGGCAGCCACCTGCCCCTGAAGCTCTTCGTGGACCACTGTGTGGCCACACCGACACCAGACCAGGACGTGTCCCCTGGTTACACCATTGTGGACTTCCATGGCTGCCTCTTGGCCTGGCTGTCTGATGGCTCTTCTCCATTCCATGCCCCAGTCCCAGGCCAGACGTTCTGGTTCATGGTGGATGTGTTTTACTTCACTAACGACTCCAGAAACATGATATACATCACCTGTCATCTGAAGGTTACTCCAGCTAACCCAGAGCAACTGAACAAAGCCTGCTCTTTCAACAAGTCTTCCAATAGCTGGTCCCCAGTAGAAGGCATTGAGGACACCTATAAGTGCTGTGACAAGGGAGACTGTGGTGGTTCAGGCTATGCCAGGAGACAGCTCCCTGGTGTGAGCCAGGGGTTCAGATCCACTTCACGGAACCAGAAGCACAAGCACATAACAGAAGAAGCAGACATCACCACGGGACTATGGTCTGGGCTTGGGCCTGGCTGCAGTGGAGCTCCTGACCCTGGCTGTGGTCATGAGTCTTTCCAGGTGGTGCCACACTGCTTCCCACCCTTTGTCCCTTTCCCAGAAAAATGAGAAAGCCAACCCCCCCCCAAAAGAGTGTAAGTAAGGTTCAAATTATATAATTGATAGTGTGAAATAGTAAGAAAAGGGCTAAAGGAGCAGGGGAAGTGGGAAGGGCAGGGGAAAGGAAAGAAGCGAAAATAAAAAATATGAGAAATGGAAACAAAGTCTTTGTAAATAGTGGGGGGTGGAGGGTGCGAAGGGCCGGCAGGGGTATGGGGAAAAAATACGAACTAAGTTACATCATGTGAAGGTACAAGATCCCAATGATGAATGTAACTGTATTGTTACAATACAGTATCAATACATTTAAATAAAAAAATACATAAACACACTGGAATTAAATAAAACCCTCTTGAATAACCATTAGGTATTAGATAAAATTAAAGAAATTAGACAATAATTAGACTGTTTCTACAATTAAATAATAGTGCCAATACAACATACCAGGACTGATGGGATTCAACGAAAGCAGTGCTATGAGGGAAATATATAGTAGTAAATTCTCATATCAGTAAAACAGCTCATATAAGCAACCTAATGATGAATTTCAAACTGTTAGAAAAAGAAGAGATAGTTGAGTCCAAAGCTAATAAAAGGGAGAAAATTATTAAAATCAGAAGAGAATTAGATATAATTGAGATTAAGAAATCAATACAAAGAATCAATGAATTGAAGAGTTGATTCTTTGAAAGATTAAATTAACAAATCTTTAGCCAACTTTATCAATAGAAGGAAAGAAAAGACTCAAATCCATTCACTTATGAATGAAAAGGGTGAAATCATAATAGATCCTGCAGCAATCCAGAAGATTATTAATACCTATCTTTATCTATAAAAAATTGGAATAGATGGTCCTTATCTCAGTCTCATAAAAGCTGTGACAAACCAACAGCCAATGTCATACTAAATGGACAAAAAGTAAAAGCTTTCACTACAAAATCAAGAACAAGACAAGGATTTCCACTATCACCACTCTTATTCAATGTAGTTCTAGAAATATTAGTCAGATCAGTTTGATAGAAGAACAAAAAGTAAAAAGAAGGACAGAAAAAGAAGTTAAATTATCATTATTTGTGGATGATATGATAGTCTACACAGAAGGCTCCAAAAATTCCATGAAAAGACTTCTAGATTTAATAACCAAATTCAGTACTGTAGCTGAATACAAAGTCAACACTCAAAATTCAATAGGATTCCTGTATCCAAATAACAAACTCACTCCAAGAGAAATTAAAGAAACTACACCTTTCATAGTAGCATCCAAATAAAATGAAATGCTTAGCAATCACTCTAACAAAGGAAATCAAAGACCTTTATACTGAAAACTACAGTACTCTGAAAAAAAATAAAAAAGGATATCAGAAAACAGAAAGAGTAATGCTCTGACAGAAAGAAAGAAAAACTTGAGACATTTCAAAGTAAATGGACACACCTCCCTACCATACTCCTAAGTGAAATAAATTAGACACACACTTTTAAATATCACATTGCTTCTCTTGTGTTAGAAACCAAAAGGGTAAATAAGGACCAAAATATGTAACAGACATTAGGAAATAGGAAAAAATGTTCAAATGGAAGGGGAACAAGGGAGAGGGAAAGGATGGAAAGGAAAAGAACAAAATGAATATAAAGAAAGAAATGGAACAAAGCTTTTGTAAATATAAAGGGAAAGAGAGGCTGAAGAGGGGAGGGAATTGGGGTAAAAGGTAGAATTAAGATATATTATGTACATTTCCCATGGTGAATGTGCTTAGCATGCGTATCTAAAATGTACCAATGAAATTAATTTAAAAAGAATCCCTTTTTAAGGGATTCCAATTAACAAATGCAAAATAAATGAAAGAATCATATTACAATTTTTCAATTCCAGAGTACTAACAGATGTACATTGTCTACTAAAAGGGGAGAAACTAGACACTGTCAATTTACTGGAAAAGTACAAAAGCGAATCTCATCAAACCTCTGGATCTAGATGCCAGTTTGTGGGAAAGATAGAGATTTAGAAACATTGTGAATTGTACCAAGAGTGTTCAATCAGAAATATCCAAATCGCTTCTCGGCTTTTTGGCTAAGATCAAGTGTAGAAATATCCAAATCAATAATGTTGAAAACTTGCATTGTTAAATGAATTGTAAGAGAAGGAAATGGATAGGGAAAGACCCATGGGTAAACAGGAACTAAAATGAAGTGTTAGTTTGTATTATACTTGATAAGGGTAAAAATAGAATAAACATAAAAATGACAGCTTATTATCAAAATAGGCTATTGGGATTGGCCACCATTGCTCACTAACATATGGTTTATCAGCCATAATTCTTATTTTAGATAGTTTATAATAATTTTTAATGTTATGTATGTAATTATTTATATGTGGGCAATGTTAAGACATGCTAAAAGGAAATAGATATAAAAATAAAGATAAAAATCTTTAAATTGAATATTTTGAGAAACTGGTATAAATTATATATAATGTCCACTTTGCATTTATACTTATTCAGTTCTCAAACTACTTACTAGTGGAAGGTTATAACCAAAAACTTTTATTCTACTATAAAGCCCAGTACCTATGAGTCACTCCACAATGAAGTCATCTGCTACTAATTTACATATTTCTTCTTCAATATACTGGTAGATAGGTAGGCCTTTTTTCTTTTTGCTTTCTATTATTTTGTTGTTGTTACCTTCCACTCTGATATATTTTTATTTAAGCTTGTCTAGCAGACTGCATCCTCAAGGCATTTGGGAAGAAATTTCCTTCCAAACAGGTGTTTAATATTTTAATATTCTAGGTCATGCTTTGTTTTATGTATTTTCATTAAATGATGTGCCTTTAGAGCTGGAACAGAATTTTCTAACTCAAACACACTCTGTAGTGGTTTTATTGAAAATAAAAATAATGTAGATAAATTCAGTCACCAAGCATATTTAGATTAGAGCAGAGAAACAAAAGCTAAGAAGTATGTTTGTCCTTATTCTCTAGGCTATTTCTGTATTGTTTTATTTTTATTGGTTTATACTAGGCAGGAGTGAAGGAAAAGGTAGGGGAAATAAAAAGGATCAATATGAAGAGTGTGTATGTACAAAGGCGCCGTGGTGAATTTATTTTTTATGTGTTGCAATACTAATAAAACAGGAGAAAATAAATCAAAGGAATCACTAAAATCATCCTATTTTCCTTTGGTGTTCATTTTATATGCACTTGTTTTTGTTTGTTTGTTTCTTTAGCACGAATGCATATAAAATTTAGTCAGTTTAACATATTTCTATACCCTGAAATTTCTCTCTTGTTCTATAGCAGTGGTGGTGAACCTATGGCCCACATGCCGCGGCTGGTTGTTAGTCATCACTGGACGTTCTAAAGGGTTTGCTATCATTGTATCACAGTTTCTTCGAGAACTTGAGCTCAGTACATAAAATTTACAGATCATATCCTTTATTCTCTCAAAGGGTCAACCACAGAAATGACACATAATTATTAAAGAATGTTGTACGATCTTTTAATCTTTCATTTTTAAGGTTGGTCTGAGCAATTATTAGTAAATTGATGCTTGCAAAAAATTAGATATAAAACTGAACTTTGGTCTCTTCCAGGTGATCCATGCTTGCTCTACTAGTTACCTCAGATCATGAAGATTGCCACTGACCATTAAAAACCCAGTGCACTTCAAATATTTTTACTTACAGATTATATGTTAATGTTATGACAATGAAAAGTCTGAGAAATCATAAAATATAATAAAGTCAATGAATTTCTTCCAATCATCAATGAGGTTAATGCTTAATTTTCTGTTTTTATACTTTAAAAAGGGGGGCATGGTGAAGGTTATCATGAATTCACTGCCTTTTTTTGCCTACAACAATTTTCAGTTTGTCCACAATTACAAAGAAAACCTGGGAAAATGTTGGCTTGAAAGAAAAACTCAATTTTCCGACCTAGAGATCTATGTCCCAATACTGGGTAGTAGAATGTTTACTTTTAAAAAAAGCCAGTGATTTAAAATTTTAGTTTGATTGGCTTCCATAGTAAAGAAAGAAAGAAATTTGATATATAATCAGTACAAGCATACTTTAGTATTGAAAGCATATGAATGATATTAGTATTATGCATGCATTGACTATTGTAACTCAACTGTTTTCACGCTATTGTTCAGATTTTATCCTTATTGTCCAACACTGGTTGAGGGGCTCTGCTGGCATGAGGAGTATAAGGAATGTAAGACCGCAGTGGTAATACTTATTTAAATACGATTGTACTGAATTCAATGTGGCTAAATGGAGGAGGAGTCATGTCCGAGAGTCTCAGAGAAATCAACTAAAAACCATCTTCCCTTAGAAAGATTTATCTCCCACAACAGAATTATGAACCTGGTGATTAAATGATTGTACATTTTTGCTATGTGTTTTGAAAAATCCCAATTTTCTCCTTGGTACATTTGTACAAAAATGTATTTACAGAGCATTTCAACATGTTTGTTTTTCTTCTTCCCAGATACAGGCACGGCATATATTCCCATTCACAAGGCTGCTTATCATGCTATCCCCAGTACCACTGGCAAAAGCACGTATTAGTGCACCTACCACTGAGAACTATGTCTTCCAATTAGGTGTCATGGTAGGGGGCAGGGTAAATCAGAATTTCTATTTCCAGATAGCATCCTTAAGCTAACAGTGGTACTCAATATATTGCATCACAAAGGAGGCTAAAATTGCTTGAAACTCTCTGGAAAATTTTAATTGCGACATTTTAAAATAGATCCCTAAGGGAGGAGTTACCCTTTTCTAATCATCTTTGCCACATAAATCTAAATTTAATACCTAAAATGCAGAAGCAAACTGAACAGAGAAAAAACCTATGAAAATCAACATGTCACAGATAAAGTTTTATTCTGATTGATCTAAGATCAATTAATTATATATTATCAAGTCTTCACATTTTGTCCTGCTTTGAAGCTGCAGCTGTTGATTTTGGTGTTCTGGTGTGTAAAGAAATTAATAAAATCTCACCTGTGTATTCACAATGAATATTATTCTTAGAAAATGACTAAGATTACAGTTTGTGAAGTAGATAACAGTTTCTGTAAGATGTTGATGATTAAGAGGTATTACCTATGTCCTGTAAAATTCTTATATAAGGAATGTAAGTGTAAGATCATCCCAATGTATCATTCCTAAAAAGGAATATATCTCAGAGTCCTTCTTCTAAGAAATATAAACCTTTAAACTTTATTAATATTTACTTACTAGCTGATTTCTATACCAAAAAGGATAAGATATTTGAAATAATTCAGGATTGAAGTCATAGACAAAACTCAACAATTTACAAATTCTCAGAGTTTCAGTTTCCTCTACGTAACCCATATGAAATTAGACGTCACTGAATTTATAGGTATGAAAATGTATTCAAAAATACTGTACAGATATTAAAGGCTTAAACCTCACAAAAATATATGGAGAAGATAACTCTGTTAAATTTCCTTGAAAATCAATGTATTGCTAGGTAAACTGTATCTTTGAAAACATTAATTTTAAGAAATTGATTAACAAAGTATGTGGAGCTCAAGCGGATCCTAAAGGGTTACTGACAATCACAAGGACCTAGCTCTCAAAGCGCACCTTAGTTGGTCTGTACTCACTGCAATCACTTATTGGAATTTTAAAATTGCTTCTAGTTCTTTTCTTTGTCTTCCATCCTTTATATTGCTGTCAGACTAATGTTCTTAAAACAAGGTTTCATTTTATCTTTTATCTAAAATTCACAAGTGCCCACCTCTTCCCTTGTTTCTCTGTTGAAGTATAAACTGGATATCATACACCAGCCAAAAATCTCATTTTTCCTGACTTTATCTCTGTGACCCCTCAGCATAAACTCTGATATGTGCCAATCTGATCTTCCTTCCCTACTTACATATGGTGCTTACACTGTTCTCCATTTGTTCATCATAATTTTTAAAGTGCATAAAAATTCTACTCTTCATTGTACAGGAACTTGGAATTATCTTATTCTAGAGCCTGTTTAACTATATGAATATTCTGCAAAATGCAGCAAAGATTTGGAAGTCAGAGACATAAGTTTAAATCTCATTTCCATAGTTGTCAACAAGGTAAACCTTGGCAAGCTGAAACCTATTTATCTTTCTCAACATGAGATCAGGGCTCCTTACCTTTAAAAATTGTTTTGAAAATTCATACAAACATTGCATAAAAAGCACTAAGCCTAGGAACTAGCACATAATGCCTTCTCAATAAATTTTGGCCTTTGCTCTGGATATTATTAGTAGTTATTGCTAGATATTTTTTCTGATATTATACTGGATTGTCTGATTGTCTTATAAACAACACTAGCTGTGTGTTATCACCTGTACACCATGACTGCTACATATCGAATGTTTTACTATCTTTCGTGTAATAGACAACATCATTCAGAGTTTTCCACGTCTGAGTCCTGGAATTTGTGAGTATGCTAATTTGTAAGAGGAAGATCTAAAGGGCACATTTAAATTAGAATGCCAATCAAGATATTCTACTGGATTATTCAGGTGGCCCAATGGAATTATAAGGATCCTAAAAAATAGAAGAGGGAGGCACAAGGTTCAAGGAAAGGGATGTGATAGCAGCAGAGTCAGAGAGTTTCTGTACTGTTTACTTTGAAAATGGAGGAAAGAATCGGGATCTAAGAAATGTAGATGCCCTGTTAAAAAAAAAACTGGAAAATATCAAAGAAATGACTACCTCTAGAGTCTACAAAGAGGTCAACACCTTGATTATAGCTCAGGGAGACTGTATTGGACTAACCAAAAGAACTCTAAGATAGTAAATTTGTGCTGCTTAAGCCACTGTGTAGTAATCTACAATAACAGCAAAAGAAACCAGTACAATCCAGTTCATGATAACACCCAGAAAAATGCTAGCAAACAGTAATATTCAATAAATATGTGTTTATTTATATAACCAGAATTATTCTGTTCCCTTGTGTTAAGTGAGAAAAGAGAAGACAGAGTGCATAGGATCAGAGAACAATTTCTTTCTGCAGCTCATAGAACTACAAATCAATGATCCTGACTATGATTTATATAACATGTTCATTGCTCTTTAAAGACAAAATTATTTGAAAGCCCACAGCATTGGAATGCCCCCGATCAAGGCTGGTGTCCCATGTTCATTTTGAAATACATGTACGACCATTTAAGTTTGGAGCTTTCTTCAGTATAGTTTATGACATTTACCTAAAATGCTAAAATTCTCCAACAATTTGACCAATTTCAAGTATTCTATGCATCCCTGTACTCCCAAGGAATCACGTGTCTTTACACAGAAGTTGGAGGGGGTGATGGGCCAGGGTGGTAAGAACTGTTTGTAATGTGATTCCTGAGGTCGAGACATTCACAAAGAGGGAGATCCCCAGCTGGTGAGGCACGGTCAGCTTTGGGATCCACGGGGGGGAGCCTGCAGGTGCTGGCCCCTGTGAGACTTCCCCGCCAAATGGCCACAGCAGCAAATACACATTCTCAAGTCTTGAGTCTGATTTATACAAGAATGGAGCAGGTTTTTCTCTTTTTACCACTAGTTCTTAGACGTCAGCACCAATAGTGGTGCCGAATCACAAAATACACATGTCATGAACAAATACCCAACCATTCTAAACTAAGTCCACTAGGCGTGGCAGGCACCCTGAGTACGAAGAAGACTTTAAGCAGAGACAATGAAATTGAATGTGGACTTCTTTTAATTCTGTTTCCCAGCAGCAAGCTATAATAAAAATGTTTTTCTTATGAAGCTTATTATTAATTAAAATCTTATATATTAGGTACCTAATAAAGTACCAAGTACAATGTAGATAATTAATTCAAGAAAAACATTGAAGTGGAATAAATCCTAATAACCTAAAAGAAAAAAAATAAAAAGATTCCTTTTGTACCCTTAGAAAAAGTTCAAAAGGAATTATTTGTGTCATTTCTGCAAATTCATTGACTGGCTTGGGAAAAAGGATAGTTTATTGGTTTTCTATACTCAGAAGTACACTTAAGAGCAAGATAATTCATGACTAACCATGTGGAAAACACCCAAATAGTCTGCAAAGGCACATTACTTATTACAAATTATATCATCAGAACATTCCAGAAGCTGGAGTGCTCACCCTCATGTGTCCTTGGATGTTGCTAATGGATAGCATTAACTGAGCTATGACAGGATAGTACAGAAGTTAGCAGCCAATTCTCAAGACATCCTATTTTGAGATACTTATATTTTTTCTATGATATGGTACAGGAAGAACAAAACAAAAACACTTGGATCCATATGGCTAGTGTCTTAAATCATCAAAAAATAATTAATGAAATTGAAACTAAAGTCGGCTACAACTGCATATTAGCTCAGATTTAATGAGTTGTAGAAAATGCAATAAATTAAGCAAATCACACATTTCTATTAATTAATGGGCTGTAAAAACTTGTAGGTGACTTGGGCAAATAACAAATTCTTTTTTAGATTTCAGAAAGAATGTTTTCATAATCATAAGACAAATAGAATTTTTAACTAATTTTATCTAAAAATTGTGGTACTTTTAATTTAAAAACAGCTTATTTTTATGCTTACCAATTATCTATGTTAAATTATATTTGAATATTTAAATCCTTTTTCAGGTACCTAGCACTTTTGTTAATCTGATAGACCTTTTTTTGGTTTTGGTTTTGTATCAGGGATCAAACTCAGGACCTTGCACTTGTGAGACAGGTACAGTGCCACTGAACTAAATCCCTGGCCCATCTGATAGACATTTATTATATCCCAATAAGTGTTGTTTACTTTTAAGAATTCAAGCCAGGATGTGAGGCACAAGCCTATAATCCAAGCACTATGACAGGCTGAGGCAGGAGGATGACAAGTTAGAGTACAGCGTAGGCAACCTAATGACCTAATGAGATCCTGTCTTTGCAAAAAAAAAAAAAAAAATTAAAAACAGCTGAGGATGTAGCTCCATGCAAAGGCTATAAACCTAGTACCATATAAAAAAGAATCATTCTGTAGTGATCTTTCAAACATTGATAAGTATAGTGGTGACATAAGAATATTTTCGGTATAAAAAATGCTATAAAAATCAACATATGTTGCTACTAAAGCCACAGCACTAAAATACACTACACTAAAGCATGGGGAAGAGAAGGTTAGAGAAAGGATGTGAGAGTAATCATGTTATTTGAAGCAAACCTTGAGTGAATTGATAGTCTTCAAGAAAAAATGATGGAAGCTTCTTACTATAGTTTTGGATACAAGACAGATATAATGCTTGCTATAGCAAAAATAGGTAACTGATTCCTCTTCCTGTTAATGCTATTTACTTGTGAATTTATGTATGCCTACTCTATCCTAATTGTTGTATTAAAGTTTCACGGATACTACTGCAAAGTTTGAAGCACTATATGTCACTGGTGACAAACAAGAACTGTGCTATATTAGAACACTTTCACATATACATTTGAATCCTTATAAAAAGAAAATATTTGACTGCCTTTAATTGATTTATTGATGCACTTCCAAATTCCTGAAAATTCTGTGGCAATTACTGTCACTATGACGCCTATCAAAGGAAAATAAGTTAATTCTTAAAATAAACTTGGGAGTTCAGAGAAGGACTCTTCAGGAAAATGATAGTAGAGCTGAGATGTGACAGTGTGAGTGAAAGACACCCGTGAAAATTCAGGAGATGAGCACTCCAGGCAGGAGGGAGAACAAACCCTAACTGGGCCAATGGTTTGGTGTACACAGGGAAAGATGTTGAATAGCTGGAGCATAGTACGAGGTGGAGGCCAGAGTAAAAGGAAAGGACACAGATCACGTTAGCATAGAGAGAGTGGTGGGATGCTCAGTGTCAAAATAACAGGAGGGTGGGACAGAGCGAGGAGCAGGATAGAAGAAACAAAATCAAGAGTAATAAGGGAGACAAGGCAGCATCTCTTTAATCGCAACTGTTTACTGCCTAGTAGGACAGATGCATTTCTTTCTCTAATAAAAGACATGAATCAATTGTTTAAATAACTACAATATACTGAAGATTAATAATGTTAGCATAGGTATACTATTTTATTGTTTCCAGAATCAACCATGTGCCAAGTTTTGTTTGGGGTACTGAATACACACACATGCCATCAGTAAGCAAAACAAATACCCATGCTTCATGGAGATGAAGAAGCAGATTTATGTATTTTTCTTCATGTATTACTTGTGAGATCAATGTAAATACCATCTCTTATTTTACATCTGAGAAAACAATCTACTCAGGATTTTCCTGCGAGGAGCTTGTATTTGAGTCAAGTCACATAACCTTGGTGCAAATAATTAGTCAGTACAGTGATGTCGAGGTCAAATCCTTCAGAGAGAATCGGGAAACACTATGGGAAACACAGCATGCGTTGTATAATGTGAGAGAGAATCAGGCTGTGGGTAGCATTAGAAATAAGAAAGTGGCCTAGGTATTTCTATTTGGGAAGAGGCAAAGAGTGGAAAGATACCACAGATTGGCTGCAGTCAATAATAGATGTGCTTCCGAAGCATGAGATGCTGTCTTGAAGTACAGGTTGCATCTAAATGTGGAAGTCTCTATTTTATCTAGCAGCAGGTTAAGTGTTTCTATTTCAATATTTGGGCGCTTGATTCATTTTGATTTTACTTTGGTATATTGCGATAGATATGGTTTTAGTTTCAATGTCCTGCATGTGGGAAAACTGGCTTTTCCACCATCTTTTTTAAAATAAAACAATTAAATCTTAATGCAAGTTCTTTTTTTTAATACTATGGACCAAGATTCTATGAAAACTGTACTCATGAGTATGTATAAACTTTTAAGATTCTACCAACTCCCCACAATAATTGTAATTATTCTATACTGAAAACATGTACTAACATTTTTTTTTAAATTTGCAAACCTTTATTTTTTCACAGTATTCAGTGGAGTAGGATCAGTTTTGCAGAAGGGAATCGTAATACGAAGGTTTAGGAATACAATGGATGGGGAGAGACGGACGGATTTGACAGAACCATTCAGAAAGTTATTATCTAGTAGAGTAAAATGCTCAGTAAAGGCTTCAACTAGGTGCTTGCACATTGTTAAGGAAAGTAAGGATGTCTAAAAATTACTTGAGAAATGATTGTTTCTATAGAATAAAAAGGAACAGTGAGGGATCACCCAGATTTTCTTGTCTTTGTTATGATTTACAAGAGAAATTTGGAAGTCAGATAGACTTAGAAAAGGAGGATAAACAAGAACTGTGGTACCAAAGGAGATAGTGAATAAACATTCCACTAGAAATTAGAAAAAAGTTATGAAAACATAGGTTTATGAAATATGGATTTATATTCCATAAAAATAATAGATACAAATGTGCTTTTTAAAAATAAAATGGAGTATTACTCAGCCCTAAAGAATGAGAAATTAGAGATATTTATAAATAAATGGATGTACATTGAGGATATACTCTTACTTAAATGAAACAAAAAAGGACACGTGTGTAACTACTGAATGGTTTCTCTGGTGTGAGAAACCAAAAGTGGAAATGAGGATTAAAATGAAAAACTGATAACGTGAAATAGAAAGAAAAGGTACTAAGGGGTAGGGGAAGTTGGATGGGTAGGCGAAAGGAAAGAAGGGAAAGGAAAAGTAAATGACATACGAAATATATGGAGCCAAAGCTTTTCAAAATAGAAAGGGGTGGAGAGGTTGAAGGGAGGGCAGGTGAATGGGGAAAATAAGAACCAAGATACACCCTGTAAAGGTACAAGTTCTCAATGATGAATGTAAATTTATTGTATACCTAAAATGTACCAATAAAGGAATATAAGAGAAAATAATGAGAACTTTGTAAGTTTACAAGTTTATACAAGGGAAATAGAGAAGGTGGAATGAAAACACAAAAGGAGGAAGGGAGAGGCAAGAGAGATTACAGAGAGACAGGGAAGGAAATTCCCCAAGGTGAAAATACTTATTCATGATAGAAAAGAACAACAGAGAAAGAAACAAGGAAACTAGAATCGGGGTACTTTGGAGGAATGACCCTAGGCAATATGGTACATAAGAGTAAACCCTCAGCTGGGTATGCTAACGTGCATGCACCCATATCTGTGCATATATATGCGCAAACATAGGCACCATATTTACGTATGTGCACAGTATATAAACACCATACATACAGCACACACATGCAGTACATACACATAAA